TGTCCTAGTTTCAGCTGTATTATAGATGAGAATATTTTCTTTTTACATTTAATTGAACAAGATTTTCACTTGAGTTTTGTTTCAAATCTTGAATAATGTATACTCTTCTTTTGTTTCTGCCAGCTTTCATTTCACTTGTCTAAACAAGATTCTATTATTTTTCTCTTTATAAAAGATCAGGACATAATTTTTTGAATAGATCTGCTTAATTCTGCACTCTTTTTTGCAGCTGAATCAGCCAATTCATTGTCATGAATATTCATATAAGCAGGAACTCAGTGCAGATGAATTCTCAGCTTTGATATTCTTCTCTTTTGAATTTTTAAAACAGAGTTTAAGATCAGTTCAAGATTCATTTGATCATTATAAATCTGACTATTTCTAAGTCTTTTTAAAGCAGCTTGACTATCAGAGAATATTGATATCTCTTTCAAACAATTTTCTCTTTGATGAGATTTTATTTCAATGAGTTTGAAAGCTTTCACTATTACAAATAGTTCAGCATCAAAGACTTCACATTCAGAGCCTAGATTTCAGAAATCTGAGATAAAATTAATATTATCTTCAGTATAAGCAATGCCTGCGCCTAATCTATTCAAGTTCTCATTTTTTAAGTCATCTGAATAAATCAGAATAGAGTCTTTTATATTGATTGTAGAAATTCTCTTTAAATGCTGTTCATATTCTTTCTCTTTTGATAGTTCACTTATTTATAAGTCTATAAGAGATTCAAGCTTTTTTCTCCAGAGAGATAACTTCTCATGATCAACTTTTTCAACATTTAAAGAAGAAAATTGATTTTTAATCAGAGAGCATAGTCTGTACAGTTGAGAAGGCATTTTCTTTGAAGAATTATTTTCATTTCAATCAAGAAATCTATTTCAATCCAGTTCATTTCCAGAGTTAATTGATGGAAATGAAGAAGAGACTCTTTCTCTGATTATATGATTTAAGCTCATCTTTACAACTCTCAGAGCATAGTTCATACAGGCCTTTTCAAATCTAATAGCAGGAGGAGGAATTGAAGCTTCAATTTCCATTGCTTTAATAGAAGATGATTTGAATGCTCTCAAAATTCTTCTCAAGGCTCTGTTTTGCAGACTTTGAAAGAGTTCAGTGAAATTCCCTTGATTATTAACGGTCGTACGTTCTTCCGAATCACATTACTCAAATAACACAAAAAATGACAACTTGAATAGATTAGACACAAACATTGCTTATACTGAAGATAATATCAATTTTATCTCAGATTTCTGAAATTTAGACTGTGAAGCTGAAGTCTTTGATACTGAACTATTTATAATAGTGAAAGCTTTCAAACTCATTGAAATAAAATCTTGTAAAAGAGAAAATAGTTTGAAAGAGATATAAATATTCTCTGATAGTCAAGCTGTTTTATAAAGACTGAGAAACAGTTAGATTTATAATGATTAAATGAATCTTAAACTGATTTTAAACTCTGTTTTAAAAATTCAAAAGAGAAGAATAATAAAACTGATAATTCATCTATACTAAGTTTCTACTTATATGAATATTCATGACAATGAATTAACTGCTTCACTGTAAAAAAGAGTTCAGAATTAAGCAGATTTATTTCAAAAATAGTGTTCTGATATTTTATAAGAAGAAAGATAGAAGAATGTTATTTAAACAAGTGAAATGAAAGCTGACAGAAACAAAAGAAGAGTGCACATTATTCAAGATTTGAAATAAATTCCAAGTGAAAATCTTGTTTAATTAAATATAAAAAGAAAATATTCACATCTATAATGCAGCTGAAACTAGAACATGACTATTTCAAATCTTATATACAAAGATTTGATGATAGATTTGATTCAATAGAATGCTCATTCTGTAATGCAAATGAGAATTCTGAGCATATTATAATGCACTGTGTATTATACAATAGTCTCAGAGTCAGATTGAAAGAGAAGTATAATCTAAATTAATTAAATATAAGGTTCTTATTCTCAACTGAGACAGGAATGAAATACTTAATAGACTTTGTATCAGAAACTCAAGCAGCTATAAGAAAATGACTAAATTCAGAAATATCTGAATATGAAGAGAAGGAACTTGATCAGATATAGTCTGTTAAAACAGCTATATACTATCTTTTAATAATTTATTTTATTATAGTCTCTCTTTACTTTACTTTTATCTTTCTATTCTTTTCTATCTATCTATTTAATGTGTCTATCTTTAAGACTGTGGTCTCTTTTCTTTTGTTATGATATTGTCAAATGATTCAAAGTATTAAAAGGTGTTAAAACACTGTAATTTATAAACAGTTTTTATATTTTGAGCTGGAATTTTCTGATTTTACATGTCTGAAATTGATAAATGTATAATAGTTGACTTTATAGATATATGAAAAACCCTGAGAACTAAAAGTTCTCAGGTAGATGTCGTAGTCTCTGACTGTATACATCTATAATTGAAGAATAATAATAAGAATAATAATAATAAATTTATTATATAGATAAGCTTATCTTCTCTAATTAACTCTGCAGTATTAACTGATTCTATCTTTATAAGTAAGTCTGTTAACACTGATCAGAAGTATAAACCTGACTTACAGACAGCTATATATAAATTATATCTTTAAAGTTATACAAGTCTTAAGTACATATTATCTATAATGTCTGTAATAATTACAGTTTCTGTAAATCTTCTTCAAGTTTCAGAGAGATCTTACAATTCAAAGATAACTCTTATAAGTCTCTTAGCTCTCAGATCTGAGTTCTTATACTCTGCTTATTATAAGAGTAGATTCGCAGTTTTTATTACTTATCTTATTTACTCTGTAAGCTTTAGAGATACTACAGTGATCTGAAACTCTGAGTTTATTAATACTTTTTATACTTTTAGAGTAATAATATCACAGTACAGTCTCTCTCTATAAGTATATATTTTCATTGAAGAAGTAACAGATTCAGATATCAGCTTTAAGATTCTTAAGAAGACTGTTACTTACTCTGTCTATAACTTCTTAATTTTCTATTTTAATTTATTCAGACAGTTTATATAAAGATATTCTGATTTAGAATAGATAAAGTAGAGACTCTTTTTCTTAATCTCTCTATTATATACTCTATTTATAGAAGCTTATAAAGCTCTTTCTCTCTACTTAATAGTTAGATATAAATCTTACTATATTTTATTATCTTTTTCTAATATATCTATTCTCTATTATTCTGATTCTTGTAGAACTGATTAATAATTCACTCTTTATAAGTCTATAACTCTTATAGTGATTTATAAATAGTAAATAAAAGTTATTAGTTTCTTCAAAGTTAAGAATTTAGAGTCTTATTTAATAAGCTTATTCTATATATTTTTATTCAACTTCTTTATAAATATTATTATTCAGATCTTATTTCTGAGCTCAGTTTTCACAGATTTTAATTTATATTATAATTTTATAAAGTACTATGAGTAGTTTTTATCAGATTTCTCATCTTTTTTTCTAATATTAATAATTACAGCTCAGATATTCTCTATTCAGTTTATAAAGTTTTTTAACTTATTCTCTAGATAGATCTTGAGAATAGATTAATGAAATCTCTTATAATTATTTTCTAGATAAATCAGTCAGTTCTTAACTTCAGTATAGTAGAGATCTGTTATTATATAGATAATAGCTTCTTTATCTTTTATATTATATAGCTGAGCTTATAAGTTAATTTTAAATATAAACTTATAAAAGCTTTTATAGATTGTAATTCAGTAAATAATTTTAAGTAGTTATAAATTAAGAAAGTTTCTTTTCAATTTATAAATATCTCTGATAATTATATCTAGAGACTCAGTTTAAGAGTGTTTATAAATAGTAGACATTTCTTATAGAAAAATAGCTTAATTTTATAGAAGATACTTAAGAATATTCTTCACTGAGATTGATTTATTTATGAGCTTAGAGAGTTTCTCTGTTATAGATATAAAGAATAATATTCTATAAGTAATTAATAAGTTCTCTGAGACTTCTTTTATAAGAGTTATTCATGATTTGAGTGACTGTTTCTAAGTATCTGTAGTAGAGTTTACAGAGATTAAAGTATATAAGTTTCTAGTTCTTTCAGTTATAATAGATGATTACTGACTGACAGAGCTTAAAATGTAAGAATAAATACTTATAGACAATTATTCAGATATTTACAGCTTAATATAATATATACTATTAACTACTAGAAGTATTCACAGTAGAAAGATAAAATATAGAAATTAAATATATAATAGTATTCAAGCTGAGTTATGAATAGTGTTTATGAACTTCAGTCTATATAGTTGTGTGTAGCCAAGGGCCGCTAACCCTATTGATTATGTGAGAGATAGGAATAGAGGTAAAGAATCAGTGAGGAGTGGGATTTCTTACACAGAGTCAGTTTAAAAAGAATATGTTTTTATAAGCTTTCTTTCTTTATCTCAGAGCAGTGAGTAAGATGAAATAGTGTAATGACACAACATCAGCTTGCTACTAATAATTGGTAAATACACTATTTTTAATGAGATTCACTATTGCATTCAAAAAGTACAGATGCACCGAACAGGCCCTGAATATATAGTTCTCAAAGTCTCTCTCTTCTTAGCTAGATATCAATCCTTCTCAAAAAGTGGAGAAATAAGTGAAGGACATTTAATATTTTCTCGCCAGATTTTCGCAAAAAAGAAAAAAAAAAAAAAAAAAGTGAAGGGCATAACCCCTTGGCAAATTTGCACGAGGAAAAAGCAAATACACTGTACATTATTATATACGCCGTAAACAAGTTCGGATATTTTAGTTAAACCAACGCCATGATATCCATCACCTCAAAGAACGCCACACTTCAAAAAGCATGTGAATCCCTAATTTGCAACCTGATTCTCGTATAAGACGTTACGTTATGAACCAGCCAATCAGTGCTGATCCTTGTGCTCTGAAATCCCGTCATTTGATTCCATTCCTCATCGCCCTAGTGCTGGCCACGTTCTTCCCGGTCCAAAGGACCTCTAACGGGTTCCTAAGTGGGTTCATCCTGCTTGTCGATATCATCAAGTATATAATCATTCATACCAGAAGATCCCTGAAATGTGCTTCCGCTTCGCCCTCCGTCTCGTACATCATCTTCGTAACTCTTCAGTGAGCCTCCTGAAGCCTTCCGGGAATGTTGGCTTCTGGAATAATAGGGCTCAGGAAATGTTGGGGAAGGGGTAAATTGAACGCCGATCTTTTGCGAAATGGAGTCATACTCTGACTCCATTCCAGATGTATCAGGGGGTATAACGTCATCAGGAAACCCTACGTTGTTGGCGGTAGTGGGAGATCGTATTGATGGTATTGATTTGCTGGATTTGCAGCTTCCTGTCACGGAGTATGCTTTTGCCGTACGAGGCTTTTCCGTTATCATAGGCTTGTAAGTTGAGGGATCACTTATATATCGATTCCCGTCAGAAAGGGCCACTGAATTTATGGATAACGGCATTCGCCGGCGGGAGAAACGAGAGCGCGACATGGTGCCAAAAGCTTTGGGAATATATCGTGAAATTAATGGTCGTAGCGCTGGGGCAGAAGCACATATAATGCCGAGATCAATTTCAACGATGCTCATAATCCACAACGGATAGGCATCAAACTGCTCATCGTAACTTTCTCCCATCGCGGTAACAATATAACCGGTCTTTACACAGCTAGCCGCGACGACTATAGCTCCTACACAAAATATTGCAATCACGGCCAGCCGTTGGCTTATAGGGAGTTGAAGCTGCCAGCCGATCGGTATTGGGACTAGCATTGTGAGAAAATCAAGGACCGCATTCAAGATGGAGGCCGCAAACGTGACGGTAAACCGGTCGGTGCAGTGGTAGTTATACGCTGGTCTATAGAGAGGGGGTGTAAAATCCCAAGCAGCACCTATTGGCCTAGGGTCGTCAATACGAATAATTCCATAGCATGTCGAATAAGAAACAATCAAGGTGCCATACTTGCACAAAAACGGCACGCCAAACGCGTATGCCAAAGCTGTAATAACTGACAATATTTCCATGATAAGGATGACCCATTTATAACTCTTGTAGGAATGTGGCGAAAGGAGTCTCCTATAGAAAGCAAGCAAGGACAACTTTGTAGTGGATGTAGCAAGGGCGAATAAAACATAGCAAGCCGTAGCTAGCTGCATGCCCGGTTTGAATTTATCGACTTCAAGGTCCCAAATATGTCGGTCCCAACCATAGCTGATATTTGCGGTCAGAACACATCCAGCAAGCCCGGTACTAGGAATCTATTCTGTGTCAACTCCCTCCAATTAGATAATGTTTCGGGGTTATGTTTTATGCTTACCATTGTTAGAAGAATCCAAACATCATCGACCCCCAAGCTAAATTTATCCTCGTTCTTGTATACCATCGCAGGATTACCATTATGGTGCCAATTATATGAAAAAGTAGAACGGTAAGAATCAACCCTGGGCCACGCGGTTCAGGGTTTTCGTAATTTGGAGCCGGCCATGTTGCCCTGACTTCGGGGGGAACATAATACATGATAGGCAATAGGCCGGAGGCCTGAGAAATTCGCAATAGGAACCTTTAAATGTACTCATTAACAACCAATTCGATCAAGAAGTCTGATCAATATCATTGAAGCACCGTATCCCATCCTGACCGGCCTTATGCTATATTCAAGACAATTGCATAGTCCACTAGATTGAAGAAGAGACGGTCTCATGTTCGAAAGCGAGGGTCGAAGGGAACCCCGATGTTTAAGACACCTTTCATTGCACACTGAGAACCTCGAAATCCGCTCCCGGGCCCCATCCACGAAAGTCGATCCTCGGGGCGATGCATTGCACCAACCCCGCATTTGTTTTCCGCGTGGAGAACGCTATCGATTGAACAAAAACCTGGAATCTTTTTAAGAAGACTTTGTAGGCGGATATCTAGATTTTAGTTCTAGGGGCGGCGAACTAGCTGGACGAGCCGTGATTGGACAAATATCGTCCGTCCCGCATCCCTCAAATCGCCGTTGTGCAAAAAGAAAAAAGGGCTTGCGACTAGCTATATCAGGATATAGCTTCACCGGTTTGAAGCACATGAGGACAAGGGCGTTGATGAGTGCGAAGTGTGCAATGCATCAGCTTCTTGGGTGGTCAATGATATGCACGGATTCTCGGGAGAATACGAGAAAAACCTTGACTTTTTAAGTGCGAGAATAAACGTGGAGGCTTTCAGAGGCCAAGCAAAGAATGAGAGAAAAGGCCCCATTGTGCCAAAGGCGACAGCGCCAGAAAATTGCACCTGTTTCTCATCGCTGTGCTTTTAAATCTGCGGCTCCTGTATTGGAATAACCGACCGCTACTCGTGGAGGGAATTTGAGGCGTCCCTTTTGGCTGGAATAGTATTTTGGCCATCTTGCGCCCCGTAGGAGGAACGCTTGTTCCACAGAAAGTAATCCTCCCGAAGCTCTCCAGATTAGCCGTATCCACACAGGAAATTCTCCGCCTTATTGTTAGAACAAATGAAATTATTCAAGCCACCCGCTGGGCCCCGTTCACCAGGCTCACTGCGCTCAAAACCCAACAAGCAGAGAATATGAGTGATCAGTATTTCATTTTCGAGCAGTTCATCCTTCCTTACAATGGGATATCTAAAACAAAATGGATCCTGTCTCACAAGTCACAACCAGAAAGCAAATATATATATCCCACAAAGAACAGAAGGGTCCAAAGAGACCCCGTGTCCGAATATAAAAAATTTATCATCACAAGAAGATCCAAAATAGTTAAATAGTACGGCAAAGTATATTACATATAAGGAATAGAAAGAAAAGTTGAAATAAAGAAAGAGAAAAATTGAGGTCTGACGTATATAAACAGAAAGCTCATATCACAATTAGGTTACCAATTGGTACGCCCTGCGACCTAATCTCATATCGCCTTCGAAGGCCCACGCCCACGGCATGCTTAAAGTAGTTATATGTCTTATCGCCGCCGGCAACAAGAATCACACTTAGCGGATTCGGGCGGGGAATTCCGCCAGCCACAGTTTGTACTTCGTCGAGCAAAGGACGGATAAGATAAGGCTCCTCTGTATCCACGACGGAGTTCGTGGGGGTATCAGGATCCGTACCGGAGCTGGAAGTAGACGAAGAAGACGGCGGGCGATCGCCCGGTTGAGGGTACGAAACAATGATCACAAGCTTGAGGGAATCACTCGTGGGGCGGAAGGAAGGTATATTCTTGATTTTGGCGGAAAAGCTGCATCCGCCGCGTTTTATGACGATTATATGGTGTGTTCTGGGTACGACGGCGGGGAGTCGATGGTCGCAGAGCTCATCTGCGACGTATATGGTGGACCATGGAAGGCGGTTAACCAGCTTTTTGCCTTTGTTGGATTTCGATACGGTTGATGGGGAGAGCAGCGCCTCTTCAACATCAGGTAGTAATGTTGAACCCTTGCCGGTGGAAGTAGTTGCGGGAATTGTAATGCGGATGGTGGGTTTCCGAGACGAAAACGAGCTCAGCGTTGAGTCAGAGTCATCTCGGAGAAGGGAAGTGACTTGATTAAAGAAGGATGCGAAGGCTAGTTTCATATTTGACGCGTCAAAAGTTGATGCGTCGAAGGACGCGTGAAAGTCATCAAGTTCACCTATTATTGTTTCACTATTTGTAGCGGCTGTCAGTGTTGACAACACGTTTTCATTAGGTGCAACTTCGGATCTGAGATCCAAGACAACGTCCAACAGCGTCGAATCCTGCACCCTTGTGAAGTTTGGATCTTCGGAGTTCAAAGCATCCGTTACTTCCTTCGAGATATAAACCTTTTCATCCTTTCCGAGTGGAAAGTTATTAATAATTTGGACGCGATAGCCTTCGGTGCTTGCTGACGACCCGTCCGTAAATAACGGAACATCCTGGATCATACCCAGGCGAAGGCCGCCAATGGACTTCACGAGAACTCCGTCTTGCACTCGCTCCAAGGATCCAGGGCTAAAGATCGTGTTAGCAAATGGTGGGAACGTAAGGTCAAGGGTTGGTCTGACAGCCATTGGTGCACTTGTCGCTTCGGGTGGAATAACCTCCAGTGGCAGTGTCCATGGGAAGTATGTGTAGTTTGATGGCGAAATTAGGTCGGACATCGAGATTCTTGGATGATCGATGGCATATTCGACGATGGGTGAGTCAACCTCCGGCCGAGCCGGCATCAGGTGCAATCTTGCGAGGCTCGCTGCATGGAAAATATCAGGCCGCCCAGCAATCGAAGAGCAGCCCAAGGGTAAAAGTGGAGCTGGCACTGCACATGTTGCTCCAGAGTCACGTTGCGTGTCAACATTTTGTGGGCTTGCTAGTTTTATCTTCTTCTTGGTAGGTTTCACCGGCGATTTCGGGATGATAAGGGGATGACCTTCAGTGCTGAAGACGAACGGAGCATCAAGGTCGTTAAGGGGGTGCGAAGGATTAAAAAGTAGAAACAGATACTTTGCAGTTTCCCCAAGAAAGAAGCTTTCCATCCTGTCGCTTAACTGCCCGTCTCGAACATCCTGAAGACCAGCCCAGCCACACCTGGTCCAGCATCTGCGTTTGATATCCCGCAGTGCCATCTCCCCAACATGGAGATACCACGGATCTTTGGTCGCCCTATACAAGTAATACGTAGACTCGATAAATTCGGGGCGACCACCCCACCATCCAAGGCCGTTTTCAATGTTCCCTGTAGCAACATTCCACCGTTCCGGGAAAGCAGAAAATCGAGTCCAAACCGCAGCGTGTAGTAAATGAGCTTCGATAGCTCCATCCACATCTCCAGACAAAGTTAGAAGGCCCGGGAAATAGGCGCTTAAACTATCTATCCAAAATGCGCGTGTAGCTCCGGTGATGATGTCGCCTTGGACATAATGAGGGTGTTGGTAGCCGGAGCCGCGATATAGATGGTGTTTTATGGATGCTCGAGATTCCTCCCAGGCATTAAGGAATGCATCTGGCGAATGCTCCTCTTCGCTAAGAGGGGCGTAAAAGTCATCAAATTTATGAAACGGGCTAGACAGGTTAAATTGCGGGCGATCACCCTCAGATAATAAGATATGAGATTTCAATGCATATTCGAAAAAACTGTCAATTCCAGCACCGATCTATGTAAATTACCAGGTTAGTTGACATCTCACACGAGATAAAATGCGAAAGAATCCTTACTCACACCTGTATAGGAGTTCACCCACTTCCCAGACTCAGCATCGATACCAGCTCCAATCAGGCCGATATCACTTCGACGAGACCAAACAGCCCAAAATGCCCTCTTGGCAAATTCTTCAAAACGCCCGTCACCAGTAAGTCTACTAAGAACCGTAAATTCCAGAACCAAACTCCCAGCGCCCGCGCTGCACGTTTCTGTAACCTCCGGTTTTTGAGTAGTCTTCCCCTGTTGTTTGCCTTGATCATTACTGATACGAGCCGCCGTTTCTGGTGCAGCAGCCGCATTGAACGGGGAATTGGTGTAAAATGGAACGCCACGCCGTAAATTAACACGAGGATATGGAAGGCCAGTTGGAGTGTAGAAAGCGGGTAGGATCCTGGTACCAAGATCCATCGCGAGACGAAGAAGTTGTCCGTTGTACACGAATCCATTTTCCCATCGAATCCCAGGGTTGCCCTTGGTATGTCCGCTTTTATCCCATAATTTCGCAAAGGAGGCTTCGTCTTCCGGGGGCTCATATCCGCGGATAGGTAATTCGCCTACTGCGAAAAGGTGCGCGCTGAGGAGGCCCCCTATTTGTTGGATACGATCAACGGTTAGATTTGGTCATGAATTGGTATGTCCGCTAAAAGGGAGTCACATTCTCCTCACCTAATCCTCTAATCACTGTTTCAAACACTTGGACCTTGCTATCGGAGTCGAATCCTTTCCCTCTCGATCCTGTGCCAGCCGGTCCATCTGACCCGTCGCCATAAAGCTCGACCAAATCCCGCACTCCGTCCTGAAAATATCCCCACGCCTTGCGCGGGCTTTCCAAATCTGAATTCGAACCAGACGACAAAGGCGGGGAGGAGGAGAGAATCGCTAAGGTAGACAAACTATCGACGAGTGTTAGGGAGTAATTCCCCAGGACATCGTTAAGATCTACGTGGGCGGGGTTTTCGCGATCGCGCGTTAACGGGCGACAAGAGACGGGGCGCAATTCGTCCTCAGGAAATGCATGTTCCATGTAATTTTCAAAACCGTGGTAGAACATGTGCTCTGTTTCCTCTCTATTAAAAAGGGATAGAAGTAAGCCGGAAGTAAAATTAGCTCTCTGTTCCTAGATAAACTATTTCTCCGGGGCGACCCCCACCAAAGTAACTCCTGAGCTTCCAT